TTTAAGCATGCGTGGGATAGGCATAAGGCTATCCTAACTATAAGATAAGGTCAGGGACTAATGAAAGTATTTAGAAAATTGGGCAGACTAGATGGGCCAAATGGTTCTTATCTGCCATCACATTCTATGTTTCTATGTAAAAAGGCCCATCTCAATCCACTTCACTTGATACAAAAAACAAATTTACAGGACCTCCCAGGAGCAGGATCAGATAATAAAATGAAATAAGCAAGAAATATATTAAATAAATAAAGTTAACAAATACCAAGTGCGTCTCTCCACCCTGCGCATTTCGTCCGACCATAAAAAATCAATAGTGCGGAATACATCTTACATCCAATTCTGCTAGACTGAAGCAAAAATGCCAACAGAAACTATAAATGTGCACTATGTTTGCATTATAGTTCTGAATATGGAATGTTTTGACTCCATTGCAGGTCTTTCTAAATGTCCATCAATGTACTAAAGTCAGAGTAGCCCTGCCTAGATTGTCAAAAACCTAATAAAGTATGTGCAGCCTTTTGCTATGCGTACAGAGCAGTTCAACCACTTTGCTGCTGGAGGTCTGACTCCAGCTCCGACATCTCTTGGGCATCAGTAGCCAGGGTGGAAGTGCCATACAGACACAAAACGCATTTACCCTGCTGTGCCCCCCCTCTCCACCAACAATGCTTGTATCAATGCACCAAGTTATGTTTTTGTTTTTTATTGCCGCAATTTGATCCATATTTCTGTACTGGAGTTTAGAATCTACATGCCAGGACTCTCGTGGTAAGAATGAACAGATTCTTCATTTTTATGTTTTACTGAGGCTGTTGGTCTCTGAACCGAATTTTTTTATTATCTGAAGCATTAATTTTGCTCAATGAAAGCATGACCATTATTGCTTTATCATGCTACATACTTATTGCTTCAAATACATGCTCATTGGATGAGGTTACAAGGTTACAATATTTTCCTTTTTGAAATAGTTGGCATATGGTTTATATTTCATTTTTTTTTTTTTATATACATTCTTTATTTTTGTAGTGCATATCAAGAGTAACATACAAGCCTGAGGTACCCCGATGGCACTCCTCAAGCAAATTTATAGCATTTGTAACAATGGGGTAAACCGATATGCATGCACAGTTTTTAAATTTTAGTCAAGAATGTTAAGATAAGGGTGTTACAAGCTAGCACATGAGGTTCATATATCATGTCATGGCACACGGTTTCGCGATTTTCATAGTTAAAAAACCTATTCTGGTAGATTTTATCAGTAATTAAACATAAAAGAAAAAACCCTGAGTAGCAGTCAAAGCTGTAGATATGGACAGATAGCTTCATCGGGATAAGATTATCGCCCCGACAGTAACACAATCGCAGATTACAAACTACATGTTAAAACAATGTCATGGCTTAGTTTTCTTGTATCGTTTTTTTCGTAAATGCAGTTGAATACATACTGGTCGGTTATGGCTATGGTAATTGGATATAAAGCAGTGCTTAGTCTTGCGAGGCTGGCTATGCTATTGAGTACATTTTTATAACTGCCTTTTTATAAATTAATGATGGAGAACATGCTAGTTTCATTTACTTGTGATATGACTAATAAGACAAAGGAAACTAGAGTAAATAGAGGAAACAAATAACAAGGGAAAAACCATATGGTCTGTGTGTTCCTGGCGTGTGCTGGGGTCATATCGATCAGTGTTCTGTCGTGTGCATCCATATATAAAGTGGGGCGGCAATTTCCCTGGCAGTAGAACCGAAAACACAAGAGCATCAAAAATGCAGCCAAAAGCTCGGGAAAAAATACCTGTGGATATGGACAAGAACCGTGAGCTATGGTGCTTCCAGTCTTAGTTGAAGTTCAGGTTGTGGCTGCATCGGCCGGTAACTCGGCTGGCCGCCTGGGGACAAATTCCAGAGCATTAGCAGTGACCCAGTTTGGAGGGTGTGTGGGGCTCGCTGGAGGCTTAGACAAGTTAGGCATGTCCAGGGGGAGGTCTAGATGCCTCAGGGCCTCCGTAGCCTCCTGTAGGGACCGAATGATGTGCGTGGTGTCGCCTTTGGTGACCTGCAGGGTGTGTGCAGGGCCCCAGCGGTACTTCACTTGGTGCGTTCGCAGATGGGCGGTAAATGGCTGCAGAGCTCTCCTCCACGCCAGTGTGGCTCCAGAGAGATCCGAATAGAACTCGAGGGTCATTTCTTCGAAAAGGTTGGGTGTTCTCTGGCAGCTGTCAGGATGGTGGTTCTGTCCCTCTGGGTCTGGAATTGTAGGATCACATCCCTTGTAGCCGTGGCTGGGGCTATAGCAGACTTTGGAATGTGGAACATGCCCTCCAGCGTCACTGCCTTGGCAGACTTTGGGGTCAACAATGCTGTGATGAGCCTGTGTGCAAAGTGAGGCAGCTCTGCATCAGGTATATCGTCCTTAATGCCCCTGATCTTTAGGTGTTTCAGGCGGCGTTTGTCTTCCATCGTGGCGATTTTTAACTCTGTCATTTGGTTCTGCTGTTTAAGCTCCTTAATTGCATGCTGCAGCTCCTTTATTTGGCAGTCGTGGGTTTCTATGGCAGTCTCCACGATCCTGAGCCTGCTGCCTAGGCCCTGTCAGGCCTCCCGGATTGAAGCCACATCGGCCGAGATTTTTTTGTGGTGATCTGCCATCAATTCTCTTATTGCCTCCATGCTCACCGGCGTGGATTTTACCGCGGTTGGCTGGGGCTGTCTCCAATTCGGTGGCTGCTGTGGCTGGGCCGGAGGCGTCATCTCCTCTGCTTAATCTGACGTTTCATCATAAAAGTCTGAGCATCTGCCATGTATGGACGCCATTTTGGAGCTAGTTGCGCCCCGGGCCTGCCGCCAGAGTTCGTTGATGTGCAAGTCCATTCTGGGTTTATCAGGTTTGAGTTTCTTAGTTTTTCGCCCCATTTTGGTTCCGGTGTGCTTTGGGGTCCCCCCTTGGAGGGTTTAACCCGTATGTGGGGGCTGAAAATGTTTTTTTTGTTTGTAGTGGCCTGGAGCTCCTCAGCCATGCGACCCTCCGCTTCAGTAGTCAAGCGCCGCCCACCTTCATTTTTCACCGCTGCAGCCATTGCCTAAATATTTAATGGGAAAAGTATTATGAAAACACAGTAACACAAAGAAAAATATCTGCACTTGGATCTAAATCTCAGAATGTGAGCGTGTTAATATAATAGCTGTAACGGAGCTCCCTGTATCCCGACTGGGTACCTCTGCCAAGGACCGCTTCCTAGCTGGAACAGGGGACAAACCGCAGCACTTCTGCCCACAGTTGCCATGGCTTGACTGGAACCGAATGGGGAATTGGCTCTAGTGCTTACATGGACTTTTCCTGTTGCATCCCCTGCAAGCTGGAACAGCAGGCACAGGAGTAAATCTTCTTTCTCTCCAATAATAGGACAACACGCAGTTTGAGTGTAAGCTGGAACAGCTTTTAATGGTGCCACACTGGCCTTTTATGCAAGTCTCCAAGCAAGGGTGACACCCATATGGACCTTGTTGGGGACAGGGACACAAATATCCAAACCAATAACCACACAATTACAATGTAAGGCACTCCCACACAGGGCAAACAACCCCTCCCCTCTGCTTGGGAGATAATTGAGTTATTACTGTATCAACTCAATTATCTCCAGGCAAAAAAAACACAAATTTCTAAAAAGTCCCAAAAGTACTCCAAAACACATGATATCCCCACAAATCCCCATGATAGCCCTGATTTGGGTGACCAACATATCCAAAAATCACCCAGATCAGTTCAGGGGTTCAGAAATTCCATGGAAGCCCTTTATTTGACCGGCCGCAAGCATTGCCCCATGCTCAAAACAGTTCCAGAGAATCAGGGCTTGTGGTCGGTCTAGTTCGGTAGTTTGAAAACGAACAAACTACCGAACAGACAGAGTCAATAGTCTTACCCTGGAGCTTGTTCCTTTCATCCAGATGAATGATCCCACCGAACAGTGATCTTCTAACTTGTATAAAACCGAACGCAGGTGATAATGGAAGTCCAGTGGTGTTCGGGAGTTTCTGTAGCCGATTTTAATTCCAAGATATTCAAACCCAAACACCGCTGCCTGCATTCATGCGAACAAGATGGCCACCACCTCATGATTGCTTATAGGAAGAGCGGCCACCCTGACGAACAATTAGAACACTGTGGTGAGAAACATTCCAGGTTGTTGATAGATGTTAACAAGCTCCAGGGTGGTCTCTGTTTGTGCGGTTGTTCGGTAAACGAACCATATAATCCCAATTGCACGAACAGGCTCCTCCAGGAGCTTTTGGCAAACTCAGGTAAAAAGGGGAGTTTGACACAATAGCCAAATGTATCAACAATCTATACAGGTAGCAGATTGAACTGAAACCCACACTCCAAGCACTGCAACAACCTATGCTTCTTCATAGGTTAGAATCCAAGGAGGTTCCCTGCCTTCCAACGTAATTTTGCTTATAACTGTGATTTGCAGAATGCTCCATTTTATCTCACTCCCTTACAAAAGTGATTTTTCTAGTTTGTTGCAAAATTGTGAGTGCTTCAAACAGGGTCTTTTTAGCCTATGTAACTCACAACCATCATAGGATCTAGCTGTATTTCCTACAATGACTATCCATGTTCTTGAACAACACATGAACACTCGGTTTTGCACCTGCACAAATAGCTTTTGATAGTCCTTGCATTGCACATGGATTTTCCCCTGTGGGGGCTTTTAAAATCATTTAAAATAAGTTTGTTTTTTTTTAAATTCTTTATTTTCCAGTTGACAGAAATAGTAAGTATACACATGATGGACAGAAGGTAATGCGTGGGCTTGTGCAAAAGCCAAAAGATAAACAGTGTAGTAATGCATTGTGATACAGAGAGGTATATACCCGTAGAGTAGTATACTGCTAACGCAACCTTATTTTCTCATGTACTATTCTGTTCTGTCGATTTTCCATACATTTAATCAATTCAAAACATAACCAGACAAATAGTAACAAGTTTAAACCTAAGATCGAGTTTCTTTGGTATGGTACGCGGATTCGGAACTGCAAGTTAGGGGGCGAGAGTGGGTTAAGTTCAGTTCCGGGATGGAGTGTGGGATGGGGAATCCACGCTGTGGGGTTTCTGCTGGGGTTGTGGGGGGGTTGGGTGGGGGTGAGAAGGTGTCCCTGAGTTGTGGGTTGTGTGGTTTTTCGGAGTTGCGTATTACATGGTGGACCTGTCTTGGACACTGACGTCTTGGCCCTTATGGATTGTGTGTTTATGCGTGATTCCTTTCGTGGTTGGTTGCCCCCTTTTTTTTTTTTTTTGGGGGGGTGTCTTATGTGGCTGTGGTGGGTTCCATGAGCCACATATCCCATATTTTGTCACAATGCATTGTGGTGTCATGAATGAGTGCAGATAAACTGTCCATTGCCCTGGCTTCGTTCATCTTTTTCTTTATGTCAGTGAGTGACGGGACTGTGGGTGAGCCCCAATGGGAGGCTATGGCTCTCCTTGTTGCCAAGGCTAGTTTGGCTAGTAGTTTGTTATGAGCCCGTGGTGTACCGACCAGCGGTTTGGATAGCAACCATAACCACGGGTCTCTTGGGATGGTGTCATGAAGGACTCTGGAGGCCAGGGCCACTATGTCGGTCCAGATTTGTGCAATGTGGGGGCATTCCCACCACATGTGGTAGTACGTTCCCTTGTGGCCGCACCCCTTCCAGCATCTATCTGAGGTGGATAGTCCCATTTGCTTATGTTTTAGCGGAGTATGGTACCAGCGCATCAGGGTTTTGTATGCCTGTTCTTTATGTGTTACGCATATCGTCACTGTCGCTGTGGCTACCCAGATTGCGGACCAGTCTGTGGGGTCTGCGGGGGGTCCTAGATCCCTTTCCCATGCTATTACATACCCCGGTGGGTGTGTCCCTATCGGTTTGAGCAGTAGTTCGTAGGTTGTGGAGATCTGACTTTTTTGTATGGGGGCATGGATGCATGCCTGTTCAAAAACGGTGAGGGGGGTATTTCCAGCTTGTTTGTAGGTAGGGGTGTCTAGGAGATTTTTGATTTGCAGGTAGCGGAAGAAGTTGTGTGTGGTGAGTGGTCTGGTTTGTGGCAGGTCCGTGAAAGCTATGATTTTATGGTTTTGAAAAAATTGATATGTCCTGACGAGGTCGTTGTCTTCGTAGTGCGCGAAGTCTTTTGGGGTCATGCCTGGAGTGAAGTGTTCGTTTCTCAGGATTGGTGTCAGAGGTGAAGGGTTCGATGCGAGCCCGTGTTTTATGGAAAGTTTGTTCCAGATTGCAATCGCGGTGTCAAGTGCCGGTGTGGTGTGCGGGGGTTGTGGTCTGGCTTGTTTTGGGACCCAGATGTAGAGGGAAGGGAAGTCGTGGCCGAACAGATCATGTTCAAGGTCTACCCATCTTTTCAACCCTATGGGTGCGTGTAGTGCTTTAATCTGTGCTAGTTGGGCTGCGTGGAAATAGTGGAGGAAGTGGGGTAGGCCTAGGCCCCCCGAGCGCGTCGGGAGGTAGAGGATGTCTCTACGTATTCTGGCCCGTTTGTTGGCCCATATGAAGCGATCTATTTGTGTTTGTAGTATTTTAAAGTCCTTGGCGACTATTTGAACCGGTAGTGTCTGGAATAGGTATAAGAACCTCGGTAGGAGGTTCATTTTTATGCATGCCACCCTGCCTAGCCAGGAGATGGAGTGGGATTCCCATGTTTTAAGGTCCGCTGTTGCTTTTTGTAGTAGGGGGGGATAATTGAGTCTGTATGTCTGGGAGACGTCTGCTGGTAAGTCTATACCCAGATAGTGTATATGCGTGGGGTTGAAGCGAAACGGATAGTTTATTTTTAATGAGTCTAGGTCCTCCTGGGGGATTTGTACTGGGAGTGCTTCTGTTTTATCCAGGTTGAGGCGGTAGCCTGAGACCTGTGCATATTCTTGTATGGTGTGTAGTAGGGGTGGGAGTGAGTTTATCGGATCCGTGAGGGTAAGGAGTAGGTCGTCTGCGTATCCTGCCACTTTATATTCTTCTTCCCTGACATATACTCCCTTTATTTTTGGGTCTAGGCGTAGGGCTTGGAGTAGGGGTTCTAATGAGAGGGCAAATAGGAGTGGGGAAAGGGGGCAGCCCTGTCTCGTCCCGTTGTTGATGCGAAAAGAGGGGGGTTGAGCGTTTGGGATTAGGAGGTTCGCTTCCGGTGTGGAGTATAAGATGTTGAGCGCGTTGAGAATCGAGTCGGGGAACCGGAATTTGTGTAGGGTGGCGAAGAGGAAAGGCCATAATACTCGGTCGAATGCCTTTTCGGCGTCTAGGGACAGGAATAGGGTGGGGATTCGTCGATGAGAGGTCGTCCAAAGGAGGTCAAAGGTCCGTCTGGTGTTATCGTATGCCTGTCTGTGGGGTATGAAGCCTACTTGGTCGGGGTGTATAAGTTTATGTACGTGGGGGTTTATTCTGTCTGCAAGTAGCTTCGTAAGTAGTTTTAAGTCTACATTTAATAAGGATATCGGTCTGAAGTGGCTTGGGTCCAGGTGGGTTTTGTTTGGTTTGGGAAGCAGGCACACGTTTGCTCTTAGGAGGTCAGGGGGTATGGGGTTTCCCTGTAGTATCGTGTTGAAGAGGTTGCAAAGGTGGGGGAGGAGTATAGTAGGAAATGTTTTGTAATAGAGGCCCGTGAAGCCATCCGGTCCCGGGCTTTTGTTGGGTTTAGTGTTTTTGATGGCTTTGGCTAGTTCTTCGATAGTGATTGGTGCACTTATTTTGGATATAGCCTCCCTTTTTAGGGCTGGTAGGGGTATCTTTTGTAGGTATTCGTCTATAGTTTGTCTGGACTCTTCGGGTTGCAGTCTGGTGTTGGGGCTATGGTCGTATAATGTGGCAAAATATGTTTGGAAGACTTCACCGATTTTAGACGGCGTGCTGTGTGTGGTGCCGTCTGGTGATTGTATTGTGTTTATTTGTTTTCGGTCAAGTCTGCGTTGCAGCTTCCTGGCTAGTAGGGTGTCGGCCTTGTTGGATTTTTCATAGTAGGTTTGTTTTGTCCATTGCATAGCTTTGGTTGTGTCTTTGGTCATGAAGTTTTTAATTTTGGTTCGGCATTCTGTTATTTCCGTAAGGATGTCTTGTGTGGGGTTTTGTTTGTGGCTCGTTTCTAGGGATCTGAGAGTCGTGAGGGCTGTTGCTAACTCAGCCAGTTGTGTTCGTTTTAGGTGGGATGCTAGGCTTATAATTTTTCCCCTTAGGACTGCCTTGTGGGCAGCCCACAGTACGCCTGGTGAAGGTGCCGAGGGTGCGTTTAGTGTGAAGTAGTTTGTCAGTTCCGTTTGGATCGCTTCTGTTATTTTCGGGTTGTGTAGCAGTGTGGGGTTAAGTTTCCAGGACCATGGCCTGGCTACGTCGGGGACCTTGACTGATATTGTGATATCTGCGTGGTCTGACCACGTGATGTTGCCTATGTCGGCTGCCTGGGTCATGTGCGTAAGGGAGGGTGAAATCAGAAAAAGGTCGATGCGGGAGTACGAGTTGTGTGGGTGGGAATAGAATGTGTAGTCCCTGGTGGTCGGGTGGAGCAGGCGCCAGATGTCTACCAGTCTCTGTCTTTGTACGAAGTCCTGCAGTAGTTTGTCTATTTTGGGTGTGGGATTTGGGCGTGTTTGGCTTCGTAGTCTGTCGACCGCCGATGTCATTGTGGCGTTGAAATCGCCGCCTACAATTTTGAGGTGGCCCGGGGTTAGGGCTAAGTGTGCGTGGAACGTGTCCCAAAATTCTTTGTCTGGAGTGTTTGGGGCGTAGAGTGAGGTTATGGCGTATTGGTTGTGTCCTGCCTGTCCCGTGAGAGTGATATATCTGCCTTGTGGGTCCTTCAGTACTTGTTTGGTGCTGAGTGGACAGGTTTTTCGCATCAGGATAGCAACTCCATTTTGTTTGGTCGTAGGGGAGTTTGCCATGTGGCACTCTCGGTATTGTCTGCTAAGAAGGGGAAAGGGTTTGGCCTGCGTGAAATGGGTTTCTTGCAGTAATATTATGTCTGCTTTTGTACGGTTTGCCCATCTCATTAGTTTATGTCTTTTCGCTGGGTTGTTAAGGCCTTTGCAGTTGATGGATACGCATGTCAGATTGGTGTTCATGGTGTTCTGAGGTGTGTGGTGTGAGTTGGTTCTCTGCGTGTCTGTAGTATGCAGTGGCTGAGTGCCACTTGGGGGGTATGTGGGATGTAGGGAGGGGAATGTGTGGGTCCGGGGTGGAAGGGTTGTCTGTATATTCTGTGACCGTTGGGCTTGGGGGACCGAGTCCGTGGGTGTAGGTCAGGGGTTTACCTTGTATGTGGGGTAAGGGTCGGGAGTTCCCCGGTCTTATACCTAGGTTGCCGGGTGTGGCGGGGGCGGAGGTTGAGGGGGTGTAGGTACCGGTGTAATGGTGCGGTCCTATTCCCTTTTCCCTTTGGTTGGTCTGTTGTTCGGCTGGGGGGGAGCAGGTGTGGTCGTCTGCTACTGGGGATTGGTCGTTAGTAGGTTGTGTGAGTTGGGTCGGAGCTGTCTGGAGGGGGGATTACCCTTACCTCCCGTCCTCTCCGAGCCATGCCATTGTTACCTGAGTCGTGGTGGTTCGTCGGGTCACTGGAAACCGGTGGCTGGAGTTTCTTTTAGGTGGGGGCTGCAGTATGGCCTGGTGTGTGGGGGCGTTGAGGGATCCGGGGATCTGCAGAGAAAATGTACATGTCATTAATAGTTGCTGCCAGTTATGGTATGTTCCTGGGTTACGAAGGGTTCCAGATGGCCTGTGCTCAGGGGTCGCTCTGTAGGTGTTAGCATTGTGTTGAAATTGTCGTTCGTGTGCTGGGTTGGTCGTTTGGTTCTTGGGTATTAGAGCTCTGGAGGGCCTTTGGGGGTCCGTCTCCTGTCTCCCACCTGTCTTTTTTTTTTTTGTTTATTATTATATGAACATAGTGTAGGGTTTCCAAATGTTTTGTCTCCTGGTGTTTCAGTTGTCTAGCGCTGTGGTTTGGTTGTCATGTTGGGCCGTGGTATGGGGTGGGTCTGTCGCTGCGATAGCGGGTTGTGTCGTGGTTGGCCTGATTTTGGGAGTGTTAATAGGGCTTTAGGATGGTTTTAACCGGCCCCTCTCTAAGATAGTGGTCTATCGTCGTAGGGGATTGTGCGGTTAGAAAGGGGGGGCAGTGAAGAGGAAGGCCAGAGGCCTTGGTAGTTGAGGCTTATTCCCCTGATCTAGTGTGTTGGTGGCTCAAGTGTGTCAGCCTATTCTCCGTCACCTTTTCATCATATCAGGAACGAGTACTAACGTTAATACAGTAAATACAGTAAAACAGTAAAACAGTAAAACAGTAAAACATTTCAGCATTTCAACATATCAGGATATACAGGCCTGAGTCCTCGTTTGGTTTATAGCGGTAAGCTCCGCAGGGTGAAAAGAAAGTCCAGAGGCCGCGTGGGCTGAATTCAGGTCACAGTGGCCGGGCTGGTAGCCCCGGTCGTCGGAGGGTGCCCTTTGCTGGCTTGGTGTCGGTATGTCTGTTGGGGACGGTTGTTGGCGTAAGCTCCTCTGGCTTCGTTGTTGTTGTGCCGGTCTCTCGGTGGTGCCATGGTGGCGAGCTGTATTCCCAGGGCCTCTGCAAACTCCTCCATTGCAGACGGGTGGTGTAGCACGTGTTCTTGTTCTCCTATGCGGACTTGAAGTTTGAAGGGGTGACCCCATCTGTATCTTAGTCCTTGTTGGGCTAATGCTATAGTGAGTGGTTTTAGATCTCTCCTTTTTTTCAGAGTGGATGGAGCTAGGTCTTGGAAGAAGGTAAGCACGTGAGACCCATGTTTTGGTTGCATGGCTCTGGCTGCCGCCATGATTTTTTCTTTCGTGGCGAAGTGTAATAGGCGGACGATGATGTCTCTGGGAACTGATGGGTTGAGGGCTATGGGTCGCAGTGCCCTGTGTGCTCTGTCTATCTCCCTGTTTTGGTCTGTGGAATTCGGGAGTAAGGACCGGAACAGTTCCTGTAGCGTGGGTAGTATGGCGTCCGTATCTACTGTTTCCCGCATGCCCCTTATTCTAATGTTGTTCCTGCGGGACCGGTTATTAAGGTCTTCCAGGCTGTCTTCAAGGAATTGCACTTTGTCGCTTAAATAAAAAATATCTTGCTTGTGTTGGGTTGTGTTCACTTTAATTTGTGTGATGTCAGCTTCTGCCTGTGCTGTGCGGTTGTTCAGGGCTTCAATTTCCCCTTTTAGGCCTGAGATGTGGCGTTCCAGTTCTGTGGCTGTGTGTGCCTTTATGTCTGCTGTGGCATCTTGCAGCATTTGGCGGAGATCGGATTTGGTAAGTGATTCAGGCGTTGTGCGGCAGTGTGTAGCTGCTTCTCTGTCTGGGTCTTCGCTGTCGTCGGTTTCAGCTCCGGATTCTTGGGCCTCCTGAGTTAAAGATGGCCGCCCCTGTTCCCTGGTGGCGCGAAACATCGATGCCACAGATAGAGGGGTTTCCTTTTTTTTTTTGTTGCCCCCCATGGAGGTGTTGAGCGGGGGTGCTGTGGGTGGCGTGTGACCCTTTTTTGCTGTTGGGTGGTCGGGGAAAAGGTGCCGATGTTGGCTAATTGTGGCTCGTGGACGGGAGAGCTCAGGGTTTATGCGTCCTGCTCCATCGGCGTTCAGGCTCCGCCCCCCTAAAATAAGTTTTTATATTTTTCAACATATATTGTATTTTTGGCTGACCTGAAGGTAGAGGTTTGTCAGTCACAGTGAGTAGCCAGAATTCTCAAACCAAACTAAAATGATCAAAGTTCTAGTGGAATTAGCCTTGCAGTCTCTTTGATACCATTCCGCCTCAATTATATTTTTAAATATGTAAGAAAGCTGACATTTCCCACAACTAGGTGAATAATGTGAAGAGAATAAGTAGCTATGGAATATCTCAGAGCATTAATTACCGTGAAACCATATATACCCACAAAATGACCTCTCTATTGGGTGCATCTGCTTATTATGGGAAATATCAGTACAGAAAAACATGCGGTAACGAATAAACACATAATGCAGACTAACTGTCATGACCGTTATTGTTCGACCAAAAATTAAAACAGGGAAGACGGGAGTAACCAAGGTTTAAGAAACTTTGACTATGGGATGATAGTGCTTGATGTGGGATTAAAGCAGATTAGAAACGGTTGACTTCCTGGGATTTTCACCATCTGCAGGTTGTAATGTGTCCTGAAAGTCAGGTGATAAAGAAAGTGAGTGTCTGCTCAGTGGGAAAGAACTTTAAAAAAAAGAAGCAGGTTCATGTATTAAGAAGGGATATTAATAAATACTATAGAAATGCAATATGCAGACAGCAGATTTACTGTAACCTGCCTGGATCCTGTCCATGTTCTTGCAGAACTGTGAAGGGAAAGGTAAAGGGGGGGGGGAGGTAATGATTGTAATCATTATCTGCATGTTTTCTTGGCAAACTGAATTGAGCGTCTTTTAAATGCCATAATGTACGTATGCAATGCTGCTGATCTGCTTATCCATTTGTGATCACAGTACATTCACTTTCAAACAGATACTGCCAGTAAGCTAATGGTCCATTATCTCATATTCCATGATTGCGGCAGTGCAATTTGATATGATCTTTCAGGGATACCTTTCTGCATCCCTTCCCCCATGTTTGACTGTTTTCTAAATATATGCAGTGGGTGTGCCCTAGAAATACTGGACTGGGCCACTCCCCCTGCCTAAAGTGCACCACCCCTGAGGTTTCGTCAATAACAAATCACAGAGCCTCAGGGATAAAGTCAAAGAGCATTCAGATGAAGACATTTCTCCAACTGGTAAAATATTTCCTTGGGATAGGTCTGACTGTGTAAAATGGTTTTAAAATTTGAACACAATGTATTTTGTAGTACAATCATATATTTGTTATATTTATTCTTATAGTTGCAGCTTTCATATGTAATTTGCCACATTTATTTGCACCTTCACTGATCTTTAACTTAACTTGATTGAGAATAATGTGGGAGATTCTACTCTTATCTATCTGCGTGTGATTTGTACTGTGCGAGGCAGTACTTGTGGTGAGACCTTCCCTCAGGGCCGGACTGGCCCACCGGGATACCGGGAAATTTCCCGGTGGGCCTTCGGCACCTAGTGCCGGGCAGACAGCTGGCTGACCTGCGGCCGCAGAGGGAGCTCTACTGGCAGCCGCAGGGGGAGCTCAGTCTGATGGCGGCCGCAGGGGGGAGCTGCTTGATGATCTCAGCCATTCCGCACTGACACAGGAAGCCCCTCTAGTGACCATCTGAGTGTCTGTCACTAGGAAGCAATGTAAACACTGCCTTTTCAGGAAGCACCTCTAGTGACCGTCTGAGTGTGTGTCACTAGGAAGCAATGTAAACACTACCTTTTCTCTGAAAAGTCAGTGTTTACATTGAAAAGCCTGCAGGGACAGGCTATAGACACCAGAACCACTACATTAAGCTTTGTTTTTTTGTGCGCGCATGCTAGTGAGTAGGCTTGCATATGTGTGTGTGTGTGCCTGCTACTGAGTGAGCTTGTATTTTTATGTCAATGACCTTATGTATATCAGTGAGATTGTCTATGAGGCTGTGTATCAATGAGCTTGTGTCAGTGAGATTGTCTGTGTCTGCATGTGAGTATGCTTACTGTATAATTAAACATTTTACTCTGAAAGGGCCAATATTTTATATTAAAAAAAGCTATATATATATATAAACTCAATCATCTGGGGTGGCAAGACATAGCCTTACATATTACATGCAACAATATATGGCGCAATGATTTATGGGGCTGGCATAGATTTTTTTTTTCCAGGGCTGCTTTGTATCCCCAGTCCGGCCCTGCCTTCCCTTCTCTGTGTAAGTAGCATGTGACATTTGAATGCTAGCCACTTGGAAGCCAAAACTAGATTTCTTTTGAAACCCTGCTAGCCCCAGGCTTAATTTCACCAACTTCTCATGTAATACTTACATGCATTAATTAATTCATTACTGTATGCCACAACTTGTCAAATACTACAATTTCCTATCCCCACTCCCAATTAGCCATAATCTGTGTTTATGGTCCGAGGTTTGTTGCAGTTATAATCTGTTAAGAGCTGTTGTTTTGCTATAGTCAAGACCTGCTCCATGCATCCCTAGCCTGCCTGCTTGACACAGAAGCAAGATCATCTGTCATTTCCTATACATATGTGCCCTGTGAAGGAATGCAAGGCACTCCTTTAATAATGCATGTGGTAGATGCTTTCATTGCACCTGCAAAGCAATAACACAAGGATACTATGATCTCTGCTGTAGGGCAAGCTATTAAAGGTCAACATGATAGGGAGGGAGGTTTGAAATCAATATGGTTAAAAGACAAGAAAATATTACAGAAAGAGAAAATAAAGAGGAAAGACAGATACATTGTGTATTATTTTTATTTATTTATTTCTTAAAATTCAGCCCCTTAGGCTCTGGTGATCTTTAACAAAGTGTGCTGTATATGTACAATGGGAAAGCTAATGCAGGGCTTGACAAATGTGCTTGGAATCTAGGAGCCAGCTAAACAAGTTAGGAGCCAGTATTTTTTTTTTTAACTAACAAAGCTTCATTTTCAAGGGACCCTACAGTTACCAGAACCACTGCAGCTTAATATAGTGGTTATGTTGTCTATAGCCTGTCCTTTCAGGCCTTTCAATGTAAACACTGCCTTTGTAGAGAAAAGACAGTGTTCACATTGCTGCTTAGTAACACCATTAGTGGCTGCCACTGAAATCCCACTCACAGACACACACAAACACATACATACATACATATACACACACACGCTCACAGACACACACTCACACAGATACACACTCATAGACTCAAAAGCAGAATTTTTTAAAATTATTTTGATTGAAACCCACTCAGCCTTCCCTTCCTTTGGAGAGTTAGAGTGGATAGGCTTTCCCTGGTGTCCAGTGGGGCTGCTGTCATCTCCCTACTCTGCTCCCTGTGGTGCACTCTTTAGTATGCCGGGGCCAGAATGACATCCTATTCTGGCTCCCAGCATCAGTGCAAGGAGCACGAGGGAGCAGAGCAGAGAGATGACTGCCTCCTCCCTTGCCGCCAACCTCTGCTCCCCCATGGCCGGCTACCTCTGCTACTCCTTAGAAGCGGCCAGCCGGCTACCTGCTCTCTACCATGGCCGCCAGCCACCTGCGCTCCCCCACGGCCGGCCACCTATCTGCGCTCCCCCACGGCCGGCTACCTGTATTCTCCCTTGCCACTCAGAGCCAACATATCCCAGGCGCCAGGACAAAATTCATGGTCGCCATGGCAACCTGGCACTGGGGATTTGTCGAGCCCTGAGCTAATGGATACATTCCACAATGATATGGAAGTCTTGGTATAAAAAAACAACCAGAAATCTCAATTCATCTATCTACACACCTTAGAAATCTCACATTTTTCTGGTCTCCAAGAGTCATTACTCCAACTCCTTTTAAATAATGGTTTAATGTTAGCACCCTCCCCACCATTTCAAATGCAGATTTAAAAGGTAACGTTACCTGCAATCCAGTGCTGGGCAAAGCCCATGGTGCTCCTTGTCACGGTTCTCACCATTCTATCCAGATGGCCAAGCGTGGCCACCGTTCCACAAATGCCAAACTGGGGATTTGAACCTGGATCTTTTGATGTCCTGGGCCTGCTTTACTGCCTCTAAGCTACAGCAGGTTCTATTCTTTTGAGTAGTTCTATCCCTGTTATAGCTGGCTATGTCTGCAGCACTAGGGGGCTGGACTTTATCTGTGGCTATTGTTTGTGCTTCACTTGAGGCAGATTGCTCATTAGCTGGGTATAAAACACTGCCTTGCCATGGGAACTTTGTCAGTTCTTTGATTCTGGTGGTCGTATGTTCCTGCTTTGTCTCCTGAACTTGTTCTCCAGATTGACCTTGTCTCCTGTCCTTGGCTTCCCTCCTTGTTTATCCTGACCTCTGGCATCCTCTGACTTTGGCTTATCCTCGACTATGCTCCTGCTTGTGTCCTTGTCTGTACTGCAAATTGGAGCACCTTTCCTGCACAGCCCTCATGCACAGATTCACAGTCCTGGTGGTTTCTTACCTGATCACCTTGGACTGTGTTTATCTGCAAGGGTAAGCACACATCTCTGCAAACCGGACTTCCACCACAGGTAAGATCCCCGACACTCCTCTCCACATCCCAGTTCCAACATTACAAGCTCCCGTGCGTGGTCCATTGAAATGCTTCTCAAACAGAAGTATGTGGTAGGACCAATCTCACTGGTTCAGATGCCATGTATGTGCTTGTAGCTGGTGAGAGGATTGAGAGGGGAGTGGGCAGGGATGGCTGGACTACTGTTTAAAATGAATGAATCCATCTTGGAGGGACTGCAAGAAGGGAGGGCGAGCGGGCAGAGCAAACTTCTGACCATGTCTTTTGCCACCGTGCACTGACAACAGAAGTAAAATATGCACAGAATTTACAGGAGGTAGCCCAGAACAGAGTCCACTCCCATGACATATCCCTCTTGTTTTTTTTTATAAACCCCATCCCCATGAAATGGGTACAGAGTCGCCAGTTTGAATTTTTAGCAGACATGTCTCCACTCTGCAATGCGACAGGTGGCCGCATAGGGAGGTTTAAAACTTTCATATAGTAATATGGGGTCTTATTGGCCTATAGACTTTTTAAAATTTATTTTTAATGTGTTAATGTTCTTTAATGGCTAGGAAGGGCAGGCCAGCCACCACGTAATTAACCCTAGCACTGTTAGCAATGCCAACAGGCCTGGATTTAATTCATTCGGTTTGTTCTGTCTGAAATCTAGAACAAATTCAGGGCTGTTACATGAACAATGTTCAGAGTTTGCTGTCGCCATGACCCCGTACACAGGCAGATACCTCATTCGGGATGGGTCAGTTCGGACTTTATTGAATAACCCCATAGTTTAAACCTGCCCTCTGGTAACATCCTATGGCTGTTAACATGCAGTACAAATTGTAAAATTGTGTTTTTCATGTAAGGCTATTTACCAATCTGTGAGCTTTTTTTGTATATGCCATCAGTGACTATTATTTTGGCATCGCAGCTTTAGTGGATTGATTTCACATGACTCATATTTTCCCATGATGTTGAAGTTGGCACTACATCATGGGACTGTAGTTCACACAAAAAAAACACTCTGCCATAACGGTCAGAGACTGTGCCCTAAATATTATGTGCTGGGTGATGTTTAAATGGGCAAATTGTTATATATCGGTGTTAACCTGCAGATTGTGTGGTTTGAGGAGGCATATATCCTATATCACCTTTGTGATACATTATAACAGGTGCTTGGGATTTGGGTATTTTATGATTTTCTACAATTGGCACCGTACACTTTTATGTCGTTTTAGGTATTCGAGTTCTGTTTCTTTATTGTTTTTTTTACGTTTATTTTTAATCGTTTGGTTTTCATGAATACCAAGAAATATTAGTGCTGTTATTTTTTATTTTTTTTAGGTGCGGGAGCCACTTCTGCTCTGCAAAATGTAATAACTTTTAGAATAATTTAAGCAGTTGTGCAGCAAGAGATGTAAGCAAATATCACCTTAATCAATATTATTGAATCACTGGATAAAAAGTCTCCATCTGTCTTTTTTACCAATAGAAAACTTGAAAGAAAGCCTGAATTAAGGGGTCATTATCAAACATTCCCAAAACATTAACCTTTTAAGCCGCGCAAGGTTCCATTATTTGCAAAGTAACCTTGGTTCTATTGGAGTAGGTCAATTTTTGATCTCGAAAACCAAATCTGGCTGCTAAACATCTGGAGTGCACTGCGTGTTTGGGTTCTTGAAATATTGTGTGTTTTTTTTTTTTTTTGCTGTACTCATATCTACAACGTTTCACATGGCATATGGTTACGTGTACATACATTTCAATCATTCTCCAACTCTGCAAGTGTACTTTGGAGCTTAATAGCCTCAGCAGATGCTGCTTAAATGCCTAGGAAAAAAAAAGTTAGACTGACTCCAGTTGCTTCGAGATTAACACATTTATTACCAATCTAGATAGAGTGCGCCATTATTGCAATCCCCCAGAGCAACTGTCATGACCATGGAGCAGAGGAGCAATTGCTGTTTCAGAGAAAATGGCATTAGCAGAAATTACCAACCTCCAAATAGATAGTAAGCACGTCCTGGTTTTAACCCAGCGCCAGACATAGCTCGCGTGTGAAAATGAGAAACAATAATGGCTTCTTTGGTTCATTTTCAACTACAACCTAAATCAGGAGGCCTGTTCCCGCAGACATTGTGCAATGAATTACAAGGGAAGGGAGGCTCATTATGGTGCACAGTGGGTAATGATATGCAAATCAACATTACTGATGGCTGGAGAGGTTTTCTGCCTCCTGGAGGATTTTAACAAACAAATACGACAATGGGGGGTGGGAGGGTGGGGATGGGTGTCATTACTAAATGCTTTTCAGTCTGTTTGTTTAACAGTTGAGTAGAAGTTAGCTCTTTGTCGTTTTCATAAGGATTTAGTTTGGGTTTTTATTTCTAGATCACAATGAAAATGTCTATCAAAGGTGACAGTTTACAATATAAAAAAAATACAACATTACACCCCAATTTTTGACACAATTCATACTTCTCAAAGTAACTCTTCCTGAAAGGGGATGAAACATACTAGACAATGATAGGAATAGACTTCAGTGTTATTTATGTTCGTTTTTCTAGTTATTTGCATTTTCCAGTATACTTTTTTTTTTATAAGAATTTTGTCATTTTTCATGGAACATTTCGTATCTTTGCAGCTTGCGGCAAAGAGGTAGGACTCGCAGGTCCATGACACAACTGTACTTTCAGTATGCTAGCCATGCAAGGCTGTAGGATGGTCTGGGAGGGAGGGTCTGCTGGAGATTGGCCGGGATGTGTCAGCTGACCGGAGTTCGCCACGAATGGTTCGCGAGAAGTTCGCGGATGGTTCGCGACATCTCTAGAGATGAGCTACAAAATTGATAAAAGGAATGGAGTGTTTTAGTTACGAAGTAAGGTTAAAAAAAAAAACGGCGCCTCAGAAGGGATATGATAACATTGTACAAATATACTCGGAGCCAGTACAAACCATTATCTGGAAATCTATTCATCAACAGGGCTATACATAGCACACAAGGTCATGCATTTAGGCTGAAAGAAAGGAGATTTAAACTAAGGCAAAGAAAAGGGTTTTTTTTACAGTAAGAGCAATAAGGATATGGAATACTCTGCTTGAAGAGGTGTTTTTTCCATACAGATGTTTAAACAGCAATTGGATAAATACTTGCAAAAACATAACATACAGGGATATAATTTTGAATTAGTGGGGTAATGGCTGCTTGATTTAAAGAGCTAAATGACTGCTATTTTGGGGTCAAGAAGGATTTTTTCCTAGTTTGTTGCAAAATTGGAAGTGCTTCAGACTGGGTTTTTTTTTTTTACCTTCTTTTGGATCAACAGCAAAAACATATGTGAGGAAGGCTGAACTTGATGGACTCAAGTCTCTTTTCAGCTATGTAACTATGTAACCAGTAGTGATGGTGCGATATCCGCCTTCCAGTTTTTGAGGTCATCCATGTCAATGCTTTCAGGGAGCCACCAGATTGAGCTTGTTCAATCTCCTTCCAAGGTTTAACTACGCCGTCCTTGATCCATTCCAGTATTCATTGTAAGTGGGCAGCCCGGTAGTAAAGGTGGAAGTTGGGGACCGCCAGACCGCCTTCAGGTTTCGGTCGTATTAGTGTTTGATATTTCAGTCGTGGTGTGCCTGTCAGGATTATAATTATTCCAGCGCGCAGAATAGTATCACACCTAGGACTAAGGATAACGTTTAACCAGACATTAGAATGGCTGGACTTAACGTACCGGAGAATAGCCAAAATACTTGCCGAGGTCAGGGACACATAATGTGACACAACGATGAGGAAAGCCAGAAATAAAGAATACCAGATATCAGGGAAGTCAAAACAGAGCCGAAGTCAAATACCAGAAAAAACACAATCAGGAACACACTCTCGGATAACCAGCTAGTGGAAACCACGACAGGGCACTGACCAAAAGGTAATTTGGGTTTAAATAACCCTCTTGAGACTGTTATTGGTTTCTCTGGCCTCTTACCCCAAAACGTGCATGCGAGTATCCTATTAATAGGCTGTTAAGGCGTGTATCCAATTAAAACTGGAACCGCAGGGAGAATAGTAGGATGATGACCGTTGTAAGTGTGAGTGCCATTAATAAAACATCTCAAATATTGTTCCAATGATTGGTTGGCTCTCTCAGCTACACCATTGGTTTGAGGATGGTATGAAGATGGAAATTATAATTCTATGCCTCATTGTTAAATGCTCTCCAAAATTGTGACACAAATTGGGAACCCCTGTCTGACACAATAGTAAGCGGAATACCATGTTATCTGACTATTTCGCGTGTAAATATATGAGCCAGCTCTTGGTAAGAAGGCTACTTTTTAAGCAGAACAAAGTGTTCCATTTTAGAAAAACAGTCAATGATGGTGTTATAGCCTTTAGAAATCAGGAGTTCCACAATAAAGTCCATAGACAAATGAGACCATGTGATACTGGGTATAGGAAGCGGTTGCAATAACCCAAAAGGTAGTTTATGGGGAACCTTAGAAACCGCACAAATAGTGCATGTCTCCACATACTCTCTGATGTCCTTTCTAAGAGATGGCCACCAAAATGATCTAGAGACAGCAGGCACCATTTTAATTAATGAATGCCTGAATGTCCAACTGTGTCATGGGGTAACACTTCTTGGTTCGGCACTCCCCTGGGCGGAGCCGGACCTCGCCCCCCCTCTGACACAGCTCTGACGGTATTTAGGGAGACCAGGCCAGAGAGAGGGTGCTTGGTGATTGTGTGTGAGCTAATGTGTGAGCTGCCTCTGCGAGACCGCGGGCTCCACAGGCTCAGCTACTGGGATCTACTTCCGCCAGACTTACCTCTCCACAAGCTCTGGCAATGTGGGTCATACTTCCGAATATGTACGCCGGCTCCAGGGATACGCCGGCTCTGCAAACTCTGAAGTTGTCCTAGCCTTCTGGACTAAGACAAGTATGCTTCATGTCATAGAGGATTACTGGAGAACGGAAACTCACTTACTTTACAAGTGGAGCATATCCCCGAACTATTGGAGGACTACTCATATTAACCTTAAGTATATCTTTCAGCTATTTGTCTACAATATCATTTAGTTACATAGTTACATAGTTACATAGCTGAAAAGAGACTTGCGTCCATCAAGTTCAGCCTACCTCACATTTGTTTTTTGCTGTTGATCCAAAAGAAGGCAAAAAAACCCAGTTTGAAGCACAATTTTGCAACAAGCTAGGAAAAAAATTCCTTCTTGACCCCAGAATGGCAGTCAGATTTATCCTTGGATCAAGCAGTTATTGCCCTACATTGAAAGATTATATCCTTGAATATTCTGTTCTTGCAAGTATGCATCTAGTAGCCGTTTGAACATCTGTATGGACTCTGATAGAACCACTTCTTCAGGCAGAGAATTCCACATCATGATTGTTCTTACAGTAAAAAAACCTTTCCTTTGCCTTAGACGAAATCTTCTTTCTTCCAGTCTAAACGCATGGCCTCGTGTCCTATGTAAAGTCCGGTTTGTGAATAGATTTCCACACAATGGTTTGTATTGGCCCCGAATATATTTGTATAATGTTATCATATCCCTTCTCAGGCGACGTTTTTCTAAACTAAATAGGTTTAAATTTGTTAACCTTTCTTCATAGCCGATATGTTCCATTCCTTTTATTAATTTTGTAGCCCGCCTCTGCACTTTTTCTAGTGCCATAATATCCTTCTTTAGAACAGGTGCCCAAAATTGCACAGCATATTCAATATGGGGTCTTACCAGTGATTTATAAAGAGGCAAAATTATATTCTTGTCCCGAGAATGAATGCCCTTTTTCATGCATGACAATACCTTACTGGCCTTGGCCACTGCTGATTGACATTGCACATTGTTGCATAGTTTGTTGTCTATAACAATTCCCAAGTCCTTTTCATATGTTGTTATCCCTAATTTGCTTCCATTAAGGGTATACGTTGCTTGTGTATTCTTTACGCCGAAGTGCATAACTTTGCATTTTTGACATTAAATTTCATCTGCCATTTGAGTGCCCAGTCCCCCAGTCTATCTAAATCCCTCTGAAGCAAAGTAATATCTTGCGCACATTGTATTATTTTACAAAGTTTGGTGTCATCTGCAAACACTGAAACATGACTTTCAATGCTTTTGTTCAAGATCATTTATAAACATGTTAAATAGAAGGGGTCCCAGAACAGACCCCTGAGGGACACCACTTGCCACCTCTGTCCAGCTTGAAAATATACCATTAATGACAACTCTTTGTACTCTGTTTTTAAGCCAATGTTCTACCCAAGAACAAGCATTTTCATCTAGACCGATTTCCTTGAGTTTGAACACTAATCTATTGTGTGGAACTGTATCAAACGCCTTGGCAAAATCCAAATAGATCACATCCACGGCAACACCCTGATCTATACTTCTACTTACTTCTTCGTAGAACTAATGCTTGCTTACTCAAATCTTCATTGCTTCAAGCTACTAATTATATGGAGGACAACTCCCATCATGCTTATTAACTATGAACTGTTCTTACTTTGCAAATATTCTCAGCTACTTGCTTAATGTTACTATTGAAGATTATTCTCATGAACCAAAGAATGTTACTTAATGCATCTCTGAAGAAAAACTTATTAATGAACTTTGTGTTGTTGATTACTTGAACTTCTTCTTATTGGATTTTTGTCTAAATGCAATTCATTTAAGTTTAACACTTATTAAAACTTCGGTTGAATCAAGTTACCAGCGATTCCCTCTTTTCTTAAAGCTACAGTATAGATACTTTAAAGATTATCCGTTTCTTCACAATTGTAATTAGGGAGTTTACAAGCTGCAGTTGAGTTCCAAGCCAAATCACCCAAGTAGCGTAACAAACTGTCACATTATCGTGAAACATTCTTTGTACCTCTTTTCTTTCCAGTAACGGAATAAACAACCTATCTCAAGGTTTATCACTAGGTGCCTGAGTCTGGGCTGCCATTATAGCACAAAGAAGCGCAGAAGACAAGGAAAGAACCGTGGAGGCAATGATACATTCAGGTGGTATAGTGGGAGAGGTTTCTTTTTCTTGTTCTGCCTCTAGGTCAAATTGCCTAGCTAGGGCATCAGCCTTAACGTTCTTAGGACTCGGTCTGTACATGATAATAAAGTTAAAGCCTTACAAGAACAACGACCATCTAGCTGGTCTAGCAGCAGCTTTTTAGCATCACCAATGTATGCCAAGTTTTTATGATCAGAAGTGGATCCCTGGAACTTTTTAAAAGATGTCGCCATTCTTTCAGAGCTAGGATAATGGCTAACAATTCTCTGTTACCAATATCAATATTTACGCTCCGCTGGTGACAACTTTCTAGAAAAGAACCCACAAGGATGCCAAGGGGTATTCTGACTCTCCCTCTGAGAAAGGACAGCCCCTGCCTCTGTCTCAGAGGGGTCTACCTCCAGTATGAAGGGTTTGTTAGTGTCAGGGTGTTCCAATATTTCAGCAGAAGCGAATATTTTCTTATGTAGCTCAAAAGCTTCATTTGCTTCTTTAGATCATATATTACAGTTAATCACTTTTCACGTCATATTGGTGATGGGAGGGTATCACAGTAGAGAAACATTTGATGAATCTCCTATAGTAATTTGCAAATCCAAAAAACCTTTGAATGGTTTTTAACCTATTTGGTACTGGCCAATGTAGAATGGCTTCTAGTGTGCGTGGGACCATCTGAAAACCAGAGGCCAAGATATTATAACCGAAGAACTGAACTTCCGTCTGGTCAAATAGACATTTTTCAAGTTTGCAATATAGCTCGCTTTTAAGCAAAGTTTGCAACACTTGTTTAACATGCCCATGATGAGTCTGGATATCAGGGGAATAAATGAGAATAGAATCAAGATATACCAATACGAAAGTTAAAATTATCGCTGAGAACATCATTAATGAGATCCTAAAATACGGCTCGGGCATTGCATAAGCAGAAGGGCATGACAAGATACTCATAGTGACTATTTCTCGTGGTAAATGCAGTTCTCCATTCATGTCCCTCCTTAATCCTTACCAAATTATAAACACTCCTAAGGTCGAGTTTGGTAAACAACTTAGCCCCCTGGAGTCTGTCAAACAATTCTGAGATAGGGAGAATGGGATAAGCTTTTTTGATGGTGATCTTATTCAATGCCCTATAATCAATACATGGGCGTAACTCTCCTTTCTTGGTAACGAAAAAGAGCACCTGCAGGAGAAGATTTACTTATGTGGTCTTTTTGTAGAGACTCTTTAATGCAGGGGTCCTCAAACTCCGGCCTCCCAGATGTTGCTGAACTACAACTCCCATGATTCTCTGGCTATCTATGTAATTCAAAGAATCCTGGGAGTTGTAGTTGAGCAACATCTGGGGTGCCGGAGTTTGAGGACCCCTGCTTTAATGTATTCTTCCATAACTCTACTCTCCTGTGGTGATAAGGTATATACTCCCCCTTTAGATTGTATAGTGCCAGGAACAGATCTATGGAGCAATCATAGGATCTGTGAGGGGGTAGCGTATCTGTGTGACTTTTATTAAACACTTGTTTAAACTCCCTATAATGCAGAGGAATTCCAGTAGACTGAGGTGTAGGAGTTTGGTAGATTAACGATACCCACTTTTTTAGTAATAGGTAACCTACATCTCTCTTTACATTCTTTACCCCATTCCAGTATTTCCCCTTTAGCCCAATCAACATGAGGGTTTTGCTTAACAAGCCATGTGTCAGGATTACTGATTGATCCAACACGTAGAATTGTATCACACCTAGGACTAAAATGTAATGTCTTACCGGGCCTTAGAATGGCTGTACTTAACGTACCAAAGAATAGTCAGGATACTTCCCTAGTTCAGGGAGCACAGAATGGGACACAAGGGTAAGGGAAAGCCAGAAGTCAGGGATACCAGAACACAGGGAAGTCAAACAAAGCCAAAGTCAAAAAACAGAAATAAACACTCAGGAACACACTCTCGGACAACCACTAGGGAAACCATGACAGTGTAATGAGGAAAAGTAAATTTGAGTTTAAATAAGTGCTTTACAGTTCTTTGTGGCCGAAAACGGCCTTTGACCCCAAAACGTGCGTATAATTTGGCATCCATCAACATGTTGCAAAAGTCAGTTACACAGACGCACGGCCTCTGGGCGCAAATACCGAGGAATATGTTACACCATGGAAATCCAAGTATAATGGGACAAGAAGGGGAAGCAATTATCTGAAATGTGATGAGTTCTTTTTTTTTTCTTCTGAAATCGTGGTAGTGATAGGTAGTGTTTCTTGGGTAGTTAAAGGCTGAGAGTGGTCTCCCATCAATGGCCTCGATGCCCAGGGGTGGTGATCTCTCCTTGATGGGTAGGAGGTGTTTACTGGCAAATTGTAAATCGATAAAGTTTTCTGCAGCGCCTCAGTCAATCAGGGCATTACACGTAAAACGTATTTGATCACATTGAGTAGCAACACTAAGGAGAAATCTACTTTGGGTAGTACCAGTGGACATATACATAACACCTAAGGCCGGTCCACTAATGGTTCTTAGGTGCGCAAGTTTTCAGGAGGTATGGGACAAGCATTTCTTATGGGTCCTTTCTTGCCACAGTGTAAGCAGAGGCCTTCTTTTCTCCTAAACTGTTCTTCTGCCTCTGACAGTCTCATAACCCCTAACTGCATAGGTTCCAGTTCAGATTGTACGAAAGGGCCAGGGACAACAGGATTGGAGAAGTGAGGTGCCAGTGATATATGCATATGTCTGGTTCTTTTTCTAGTTATATCCCTGTTCCTAAGTCGGTTATCGATATGCATCACATAAGTGATGTATCAATTTAACCTCCCTGGTAGCTCTTTGGCTGCAATTTCGTCAAGGACAGTTTTGGATAATCCCTCTGCAAATGCATTGATTAATCCGTTATTCGTCCAGTCTACCTCAGAAGCCAGGGTGCTGAATTCTATGGCATAATCTGATAGAACGATTCCCTTGTTTGATACGCATTAGGACAGTGGAAGTGTTATTCTCCCTTCCCAATGGTTCAAACGTTAATTTGAATTCCGCAAGGAATTATTCGTAATTATGGACAATAGTCCTATCACTCTCCCACAATTGATTGGCCCAAGCTAAGGCTTTACCTTTCAGTTGGTTCATTAAGTACCCAATTTTAGCTCTGTGGTGAAGGACCCAGGCAAAAAATGCGTGCGCGTCTGAAGTCACCACGCATGTTGGTGCCATCTTTGATGTGGGCGAAGGTGAGTATCCTATTAAAACTGCAACCGCAGCAGCCGGCGTATTCTAGGAACGCCGGACTCGCTGAGGACCCGAACGGAAGGAGGTCGGGCAGCAGTTTGCCGCGACCAAGGTAAGTATACAATATCTCTGTCAGCGTGGCTGCTTAGTTTATGTGCAGCCACGCCGGCAGAAGAACAGAGAGCCGTGACAGTGCACTGGCCCCATATGTACTTAATCATCAGGGACCTCAGAGATGTGAAGTACGCCGTTGGAATCTGTATGGGAAGCATTTGGAACAGGTACAGGATGCGGGGCAAGAGAATAATTTTTATTACTGCGATGCGGCCAAGCCAGGACAAGTGAGGCAGTTTCCATTCCTCCAGGTTTTTCTTAAAGTTGTTGAGGATCGAGTGAAGTTTAGTCTGTATATTTGGGCGAGTTAATCGGGATATCCAGGTCCCCAGGTTTTTGATTACTCTGTCGGATCCCCAGCTCTGGTGCAGTACATTGACCTTGTCAGCTGGTAGATTGAGCAGATTGGATTTCGTGAGGTTGATCTTGAAGTTCCTTTTGTATCGTTCCAGTTCCCGTATAATGTTAGGAAGGGTTGTCTCGGTTAAAGAGACGAAGATGATCAGGTGGTCTGCGTAAGCGGCCACCTTATGCATTAAGGATCCTGCCTCGATTCCTCCGATATCTGGGTTTCTTCTAATTCCTTGTAAAAAATGGTGCCAGGACAAACAGCAGCGGCGATAGTTGGCAACCTTGTCTGGTCCCGTTACGGATGTGGAATCCATCCGTGTAAGCTCCTTTAATGCATACCTTTGCCGATGGGTTGGCATACAGTGAAGTGATCTACTTGTAGGTCGCTATAGGAGTCGGTAGAGAGCAGGAGAAGACCTTTGCCTGTCTGCTTTACATGATGGATCAGGGATAGGGTTCTAGAGGTGTTGCCCCTCGCCTCTCTGTGTGGTATAAACCCCACTTGGTCCAGTTTTTCTAGGGATGGTAGGTAAGGCATCAACATGGCTGCCAGGATTTTGGCGAAAGCTTTAAGTCGCAATTCAAGAGGGAGATAGGTTGGTAATTGGCACATTGCTCTGTGTCTTTGCCCTCCTTGGGGATCAGGCTTTGTTTGCCTCGAGCGCCTAGGAGGGAAGCCTCTGTCCCTGCATCAATGAGTTATAAGCGGACAGGAAATATGGGTATAGGACGTCTGAAAAACGTTTATAATAGCGTATCGTCAGTCTGTCAGGACGTGGACTCTTGCCCGATTTTGACGTCTTGATTGCCAGCACTAGTTCCTCTGTGGTCAGCGGCACTTCTGATGCTTCCGCCGGTATTTTCGTGTGAAGGTTATCAGCCAGATAAGTCCGCATGGACTCTATGTTCTGTGAGTTACCCTCGGGTGACTTTTTAGAGTACAGTTTTTTTGAAGTAATGACGTGCTACTTCGGCGATGCGTGTGGGCACTCTTCGGCTGGCCCTGGGTATCACGTAGGCAGGTTATATAGGATGTGTTCCTTTTCTTGTTTATGATTGTGGCAATAAGTTTGCCACACTTATCGCTATTTACGTAGAAAAGAATGCTTTGGTGTGCTGGAGTGAGCATTGGATTGTCGGAGGAGAGAGGATAATTGCCCCTCAAGTAAGCCAGTTCTTGGTACGTGTAAAGCGTGTGGGCTTCTTTATGTTGGGTCTCTAAGTCCTGGATTTTGTCCGTGAGGGCGCTACCTTCCTGGAAGTGGGTTTCCTGTACATAAACTATATGGACTTTTTGAGCTTTTAAATCTTTCAGGGCAATGGAGCATTTCTTGGGGGTGTTTAGACCTTGGGCATTGGTTGAGAGGAGTTTTAGTTCCACAGGGGAAAAGGGCCTGTCCCCAGGCCCATTCTGGCTGTTTTCCATGGAGGTCCATAGTTAGAGTCCCGGGTCACTGGTCTTTCTAGGTCACCAGTCCACCTGTCCGGGGTGGGGTTGGGTGTGGTGCGCTAGTGCATGTGGAGCCGCTCCCAATAGACAGCCACGGAGTGTGGTAGTAGCGAGGTAGGCTGGATGTTAACAAGTGACTGCCTGCTGGTGTCCGGTGTCAGATCTGCGTGTTGTGTGTGGAGTAATGAGGAACTATTGCTCCTGCTAGAGCGACTGAGGTGGGCCAATTCCCCGGTGCAGACCAGCTGGGACAGGGCAATCACCTCAGACTTTGGTCGCTCAAGCACGAATAATCGGGGGGAGTAGCAGTTCGCCACAGAGCAAGGGTGTAGAATAAAGGTGGTATCACGGAAAATCTCCTGTTTCACCTGTCACCTCCTCATATACAAGTCATCATGTGAAGGCTAGCGTTCCAGGTCATCACGGTGGGTGAGGGCAGGCAGGTGAGAAGTCAGAGGGGGGTCCCATGCTATCCATGATGTATATAAATGTGAGTAGGTAATTACCGTATATACTTGTGTATAAGTCGATCTCATGTATAAGTCGAGTGCAGTTTTGTGACCAACAATTGTGAAATATGCTATGCTTCTTGGATAAGTCGAGGGTAAAACTTGGGGCTATGAAATTCTGTGATTTTTATAATTATATACACACACACACACACACACATACAAACACACACTGCATTATATATATATATATATATATATATATATATATATATATATATATACACACACACACACACACTCTGCATTATATACGCACACTGTGTGTATATAATGCAGTGTGTGTGTGTGTGTGTGTGTATATATATGTGTGTATATATATATATATATATATATATATATATATATATATATATATATATATTGCAGAATGTGTGTTTGTATGAGTGTGTGTGAGTGTGCTTGATACATGGCATGGGGGGGGGGCTCTCATTCCCTGGTGGTCCAGTGGATGGGCTGTGCAGGAGGGGGGCTGGCAGCGAGCTGTAACTTACCTTTCCTGCAGCTCCTGTCAGCTCCCTTCTCCTGCATTTCGGTCAGCTCCCCTGTAAGTCTCGCGGTCTGAGTGCCGCGCCGAGCGTTGCCATGGTAACCGGTGGCAATGCTCAGACGCTGCGGCTCTCGCAAGATTTACAGTGGAGGAGAAGGGAGCTGATCGAAACGCAGGAGAAGGGAGCTGACAGGAGCTGCAGGAAAGGTAAGTTACAGCTCGCTGCCAGTCCCCAACAGGACCGCCGGACTTGTAATGAGCCCGGCGGTCCTTGTCTGTATTATGGCAATGTAAGTTGCCATAATGCAGACACTGACTCGAGTATAAGTCTAGTGGGGGTTTTTCAGCACAAAAAATGTGCTGAAAAACTCGACTTATACTCGAGTATATACGGTAAACAGTACGGGGTCCAATTCATGTTGGCACCCCCTGGCTGTGCAGGTAGTAGCTTGGCAGTCCCTCTGCGGTAAGGCCACTGCCAATATTGTGTCAAGCAGGTTTAAGTCCGAGGAATCAGGCCACTTCATGTTAAGTGGGAGTATGGATATGAGAGCCACCACGTAAATGAAGTCTGCATGGGTACGAACTACTATGGTCCCCCTGGTGTGGTCACCAAGAGACCAGACGGGAAAAGCGATACCTTGTCCCTGCGGACTGTAGAGCGCGTGTAAGGGGTCTGAGCAGTCTCCAGTACTATAGCGATAGACTCCTTGACAGCAAACACCTCCAAGCAGCATATGATGTCCCGTGGCAGTGCGTCCGAGGGTCCCCTCGGGTGTAGGGCAATGGGCCCTCACGAGCTGTAGTGGAGAGGGCAGGGTCCCTGTGCCCCATTAAAAAATCTCCTTCAGGATGGCCTGGAGGTGTGGGGGGTCAGTCCATACCTCATAGAGGCCTCTTAGTCTTAAGTTGTTCCGCCTCCCCCTGTTGTCCAGATCAGCTACATGTAGTGGCATACCTCTCAGGATGTCCTCATGCCTCGACATGGTGTCCCCTGTTTGAGCCTGGACTGACTGGAGCTGGTCGCATTTAGCCTCCACGCGGCTCATGGGGCCTCCAAGGCCCTGAATGTCCTCCCGGAGGGGCTGGATATCCATCCAGATAGAGGATTGTAGGGTTCTGTTGGCGGCCGCCAAACCAGCGCTTGTGGGTAATGCCTGCAGGAGTCTTCCCCAGTCCATGTCATCTGAAGCTGGTGGGGGGCAGAATGTCGGAGAGTGGGCCCCTGTGGCCAAGTCCAACAGGGTGGAGAGGTACTGGCGCAGGGGGGCATGAGAGACCCCTTTTGTCATGGTGGCGGTCCGGTGCCCGGGACCCAGTCACTGTCCGGGCGGCGGAGCGAGGACCGGGACCCAGTATGCCTGATGTTCAGAGTAGGAGTCACTGTGTGGAGGTGGATTAGCAGGGTCTGGTGCAGGGTAACAGCACTCCCCCTGGTGTTGAGCACCAGTGTTTGTGCAGCCACATACCAGAACCCTGATTCAGCTTATGCGGATCCCAGGAACTAGGAGCAGGACATAAGCAGACCTCCTAGATGCTGAATAGGGAGGCTCTGCAGCAAGAATGTATCCAGTACAGAATCAAGGCAAGACTAGAGATAGGCACCAAACATGAAAAACAAGACAGAACAAATACAACCCAGAACCAGAGAAGGATAGGAAGGAAGCTGAACCCAGAACATGTACACAATACATTAGGGAAACTTTAACATTACATGGGCAGGACAAGACAGGACTGTACATGGACTGGGTATACAAACTAAAACAAGACAAGATAACATAGGCAAAACAAGAGGAGAAATAACCAAGTACTATATATGAAAATCATGGGGATTTAGTCACATTATATGATCATACATTGCATAAACCTGCCAACAACACCAATGTACCCCACATCTGGCAGGTCCTACACAGCCTAATGCAAGCTAAACCAACCAAAGAAAACACACATAGTACTTACCTGCAAGAAAGGGCAGAAGCTTTGAGCAGTTGCCTGCGGGACACTGAAACATAAGGAATGATGGAAAACAAACGGGTGTGGCAACATAAAACAAACAATTTAAATTAATCCAACAGACTGGGAAATCCAGGGATGGATTACAGGAATGAACCCAGAAAAACCCAGCATAAAGAAAACCAGACATGGACTAGAAAACCAAAAAAACAAGAAAAACTAAACAAGAATTGTAAAAAGCGTACTGGATACCAGAAGCCATAGCCAGAATGATCCACAGCTAGGAACAGGATGTGACACCTTTTTAGGATTTGGGAGCCCGATGCTCGATGAGTCTGGTTTATAATTGTGCGGTAGGATGGGATTTCAGCTAATTTAACACGAGCAGGTTACAGAGGAAAGGATTAAGCGATTAATTTGATGTAACACACATATATATAAATGCTTATTTATTATAAATACAGAAAAATGCAAAAAAAATGAAAATGTGGGTTTTTGTTTTTTTTTTACAGTTTTTGCAATAATAATATGTGCATAATTAGTACAGGTTAAGGAAAGTAATTAAAAATTCATTTAGTTGTTCTGATTTACAGAATATATAATGTGTCTTGGATTTTAAGTTTTTTTTTGGTAGTTACAGGACACAAAGCACAAGGAGTAAAATAGACTTTTAATGTGGAGCGATTTTAGAATTTGGTATGTTTGTCTTGTAAGCTTAATAGCCATAAAAGAAAACAAAATTGCCACACAAAAGTATATATTTATATAAAGTAGACATCACGGGCTATTTACCTAGGGTTGTTTTGACACTTTCTACGTAGCCATTTCACCGCCAACCTCTGCTAAATATTGGAGTAAAATTGTGCTTTTTTTTTGTTTTTGGCGCACAAACTTATAACAAAGAAATTCTCATGTGTATTCTGTAAAGTTGGGGTGTGCTATTCCTGTACAGAGTTTTATTTTGTGTTCAGTTACATCTGCTTAGTAAAATGACACCCCCATTGTATGTCTTTGGCACTATTTCGTGAAGTTACAGTGCCATATAGGAGGCCTGTTCTTTTCTGTATTCACAGTAGAATTTTGAGAGACGGATTTAATGATCCTCTGCTTCAATTTGGGGTATTATAGTAGTTTGACTGTTCAAAAAAGCCCACAAAGGCCGACCATTTGTAAAAGTAGACACTCTCATATCTCATATTTTGTGTTCAGTTACATCTGCTGAGTAAAATGACACCCCCAATGAATGTCTTTGGCACTATTTCGTGAAGCTACAGTGCCATATAGAAGACCATGCCATATCAGTTTTTTACCGAACTAGTAAACCCAGCATAGAGTATTTTACCAGGCTATAAAATCCAAATACCCCATAAAGTCATACCATTTCTTAAAGTAGACCCCCCAGGGTATTTCAAAAGGTATATTTTGAACCTTAGCGTGGGATCATTTTTCCGCTAGCTTGTACCAAGTGTAGTGGTAATAAGTGTTTTTTCTGCCTTTTTGACACACAAAGTGAGTTTGCGCAGTATATTTTGCAAACCTTATGTGTGCTATGACTGTATAATACTTCATATGTTGCTCAGCTATGTCGGCTGAGTACAGCAATACCCCAGTATGTACCTTTGCCAGGTATATGTGGATGTTGAAGGGGCGCATTTGAGACGCAGCCATTCAGTTTTTTTTCTAACTTTGAAGTTTTATGCTGTGTCTATGTTCCAATTTAGAGTAGTTTATATGTTTGGTTATTCAAACTTCCCCACAAACACAAACTATTTATTAAAGAATACACCCTGGGGTAATTCAAAAGGCATATTTTGAACCTTAGCGTGGGATAATTTTTTTCTCTAGTTCCAGGTGTAGTGGTAATGAGCGTTTTTAAATGTATTTTTTTAACTTTTTGAAACTTTTTTACTTTTAAAAACTAGTTTTTAAACTTTCCTAAACTTTCTTAAAACTTTTTTTTTTACAGATTTAACATTTTTCTAAGCTTTTTTTTTACCGTTAACCCCTAACTAGCAGTAAGCAGCACTAACAGTAAATTCCCCATTTTACCATAACTCCCACCCACCCCAGCTAGCAAAATATATAATTATAAAATATTTAAATTAGTTAATGAAATAAATTGAACCCCTGAGGGTTAAAAAATAAATAAGTTAATCCTCAGGGGTTGAAAAAAATTAGATCGAGTTATAATACTGTGATCTGTATTTTAATCACTGTAGGGAGTGATCGACTGGCAGGGAAGGGGTTAATTTTTATTAGGGGTTAATTTTTATTTAGACTGGGCAAAGGGGGGTGTTTTTTTATTTTTTACTTAAACTTTTTTTAGCTTAATTTTTAACTTTTTAAAGTTTATTTTAAAACTTATTTTTTTTTAACGTTAACCCATAGTTAGCCTAACACCAAATCCCCCAATTCCCTACTAACTTCCACCCACCCCAGCTAGCTAAATATATAATTTTAAAATATTTAAATGAATTGATTTAATAAATTTAACCCCTGAGGGTTAAAAAAAAAAATTAACTCTCAGGGGTTAAAAAAAATCAGATGACAGTAAAATGTAATCCCTGCCAATTGATCACTGTAGTCTGTGATCAATTGGCAGGAAAGGGGTTAATTTTTTATTAAAATGGGTAAAGGGGGTTGGGATTTTAAATTAACTTTATTTTTTTTTACACAGGGGGCAGGATCATTACTGTTCCGGCTCCCTGCACTTCACACAGAACCAGGAAGTGCAGGGAGGCAAAAGGTGAGTACAGCCTGTCAGAGCGAGCAACGGTGCTGGGGCAGCCTGATCGGGTGCTCCTGGTCTGCTTCTAATACAGAGGCAGACCGGAGCACCATTAACCCCGCGATTGCAGCAATAGCGGCGATCCAGGGTTAATTTCAACGGGTGATGGACGAGGTGCGTCACTCGTCGTTATGGCAATCCCCTGAGGTCCGTCACTCGTCGTTAAGGGATTAAGGACCAAGCTTCTGGAATAAAAGGGAATCATGACATGTCACACATATCATGTGTCCTTAAGGGGTTAAGCATGCGTGGGATATGCATAAGGCTATCCTAACTATAAGATAAGGCCAGGGACTAATGAAAGTATTTAGAAAATTGGGCAGACTAGATGGGCCAAATGGTTCTTATCTGCCGTCACATTCTATGATTGTACAGTATATGTCTTTTGTTGTCAGTTATTATTATTATTTACATAGCGCCAGTAAATTCCTTAGCGCTGTACTACAGTTCTTACTTGCTTGTTCCTGATGGTTTTACTTATTTATTTTTTTGTATCTGTGACTCATGTGCCTATTTATAAAGTGCGACCTCAACTGATGATCAATAACCATGTCTTGTGCATCTGTGTTGTGTCCTTCCTTGATCTCTTGGTACCTTTCTTGGTAAAATACAAATGCTCTACTGGCACTCATAGTGAGCATGTTCACAAAGCACTGCGTATGATATTCTCTCAATTTCAGGGATTGTGGCTATGACATCGCTAGGTAAGAATAAATAGGAAGTTTAAAATGGGAAACCGTCCTAGGGGAGGTCACAGAAGATACTGATTGGGTAGACATATGGGACGCTTATAAATCATCATTTATATGTATAACAAAAACAGTCATACAAGACTATGCTCCAATGGTATACCACTCAAGTGAAGTTATCCCTTATGAATAAAATCACGAACAATCAGTGTTGGAGGAGATGCAGACAAAGAGGCCCTTACACACATGTGGTGGGAATGTTCGAGGGTGCAGACTTTCTGGAAGAAGGTGGGTGACCTTCTAAATAACATTTTTCAAAGGAGCGTGGAGTGGTACCCTTGGGTCTTCCTGCTGTCTAGACCTATGGATGTCTGGGCAAATATGGATCAAAAACTTTGACACAAGATAACCTTAGCAGCATAATCTTAGAGCTCTGGTGACTGACGCTTTAATCCACAAAATGAAAGACCCATATCTTATGGACATATTAACGGCTCAGGTTAGAGGTACAATGAAGATGTTTGAAAAAGTATGGAAACTGTGGATGGTTAGAAACTGGGAAGGTTAGTGTGTGTTTGGTTTGGGGGGAGTGAATCGCTCTTCCTTCGCTCTGGTGGGTAGCCATTATGCCTCTCCTTCATTATATAACACTCTCCTTGTTCCGGGTAGAGCAAATCCTTTCTTTAGCCTAGACTGAATCATAGTCCTCTCTAGGCCTTCACATGAAAATTTTGATTCAGTTCACTCTTAT